GAGTATATTCTAATAGGTTTCCGAGATATACACAATTCCTGGAAAAAAATTTCAAAAACAATTTAATCCAAATGAGTTTAATGAATTTGAATCACTGACGGGTGTGACGAGTACGCAAACGAAATTAGCTACTACTTCTTCTGCTTATGATTTTAAATAGTTCGTTGTATAGTTAAATAAACATGTTCAACATTTACACCAAAGTTGCTTACCTATATTGCAAACTATAGATTATACGTTCCAAATTCAACTGTAACAGGTGTGACTTGACTTTGTGACGGGTGTGACAAGGTAAGATATGTATCGGTAGCAGTCCCTGGCCGAATTTATTAAAATTTGCCAATCTTTAAATTGTGATGGGCGTGACCAACATAACCGACTTTTTTTTCTAAAAGAAAAGCACTTAAAAGCAATTTGCACATATTTGCCTATGTCATAGCGTTACCTTCGTTAGCTTTTTTATACTGTGCAAGATGTGTTTTCTTCCAAAAAATAATTATTGTTTGCATTTTGTGACGGGCGTGATATTAAAATATGCTTTGCTTCAATATATAATAAAATATTCAGTACTTGCCCGAAAAACTTAACTTTTACAATGTCGACTAATTGTTCTCTCCATTGACCCTTTAAAAAACACATAAAAGACAACAGACTACCAAAATCAGTCTTGTCAATTTTGAAGAAAATTAACCTGTCATATGAGTTTGTAAATGATGTAACATAAAGTAAAAAAGTATCTGATTTTGAGATAAATTTCGAAATTTTGGCTTTTAGTCTTGAAAGTTGGGTTCATTTACTCTTACTTATTATAAATAATACGAATAATAAAATCCATAAGTTTATTTCCGTTTCATTCGGTATCGATTACCGTGGAATGAGCCATATGTATGCAATTTGTGTGATATTGTCAACAATAATATAGATACATATCGTCACATTACAACGGCACAAAATTTTATTTTTCACATTTTCACACTTTTCAAGCTGTTTGTTTTTTATTTTTTCCCTCATTTTTTGTTTTTGTATTTTTGTATTTTAATCATCTGGGGGCCAATAACAATGTTGACAGTACAATGACAGCAACAGTAAGCATTTACAAGCCAGTATACGGCCGCAATAACAGCGTTCGATGCAACAGAAATTTACATAAACAAGAATTTTTAACCATACTTACAAGAACCTACATACATATGTACAAATGAACAGCTTTATATACATACATACATATATACAGTGGTCGAACAAATTATGGCCGCACTACATTTTGACAAGTTTCACCATATTATTTGTTTTTATTTTTTGTTATCAATCTAAAAGATATTTTTCAGTTACCAAACGATATCTCGTATAAAATTTTATCAAATTTAATGAATGATATCTAATGATTCAAATCTAGTTATTTATTAAAATAAATCTGAAAGCACTGTATCCGGTCAATAAAGCGCCATATCTTCCATAATACTTCATCAAATTGAATGACTGAAACACCATTTCGAAGAACAGCTTCACCGCTTGAGGTAGACATAAAAAAATTTAACAGGGTTGCCATCCGCTCAAAATGTTTGGGACTTAAATATATATCAACTAAAACATTACAACGCATTCAGGGAATGAAATGCATTTAAATGCACTCTTAACCAGCAGTAATAATTTTGATGAGGGTTGCTAACTATTTACAACTTTTTATCTATATATATGTATTAAACAAAGCTGCTTATGTAATACAGAGCATAGCTCAAGAATGGATTGTCCTATGTGGGTTGTACTTTTGTTGTATTTACACCTATGTTGATTATGTTATGTTAGAATGCTTTGCAAATTATTACCGGTTTCATTTACAGGTGCCGGATGTGAAAAATGTATGATGGAATTTTGTTTAAAAATACAAAATCAGCCTTCCTTCGTTTTCCTCCAACCTGTTCACTTTTCACTTTTCGTCTCCGTGTATTCATTACGGTCGAATTAAAAATTTTCGGGCGAAACTCACGACTAGACTGAACGAGAATATCTGGCGCATACATTTCTTTTGCGAATATGGTTCGATTGCTTCGAAGATAATTTTAATTTTTCGACATTGTACTTCCGGTGTTCGTAAACCATTCGCCGATTCGATTATCGACACATTGCCCCACGCAACCGCAAGTTAACAAAGATTGGCGATTGGCAGTGTAAATCAATAACCTCGGCGACGCGCCCAAGTTAATGCAGGACGACCTTAGGAGGAACAAGAACCTTAACAACTGAAATAAAGTTATTTCGTTGTTAACTCTGATTGCGAAATCGATCAGTGTTGTGCGATTAAACGCCAGATCATTGGAAAATTGCAAGAACGTCATCACGGAGACAACGCTTTGGTTAAGTTATTTAAAATAGCAGTGGAATATATGCTTTCTGACAACCTCAAAACCATAATCAGAGCAGATAAATGTCCCACTGGAAGTCATTAAGTGAATAGTTGGTGAAAGTGTTGTACCAAAATATTTCAACAAAAAATTATTTAATTACTGTTTAAAAAAATATGGTTTGTGCTTAAAGAAAACCCATGTAAATCCAAGTTTCAAAGTTTATGCATTATTCAATAAATTTTCTTACAAATTTTGGGCATTTTTAAATAGATTTCTTAGAAGGATTCTGCAGTTTAAATAGATTTCCTAAAAGAATTTGGTTATGCAGTTTGGTAATCCATTGGATTCTAATAGAATAAAGTAAAATTTTCGAATGGTTTAAAATTACCGTTAATTTTTAAGACCTTTCTTGTCGCATTTTCTTTAATGTAACGAATAAACAAAATTTATTTTTATATGGAAGAAAATCGTAGCCTCATTTTTAAATCAAATATATTTAAAAAAGCTCTATTAAAAAAATATTTGAAAAATGCTTTTACAAGGGGTTTTGTTAAATAAGAGAAATATTTATTTATAAAACAAAAAAAAAATAAATAAAATAAAAATTTTGTTAAAACTTGTCAAAATGTGGTGCGGCTGTAATTTGTTCGACCACTGTATGTTTGCTTTTGTACGATTTTGCTTGGCTTGGGTTATGACATTAAAGCGTTCCCTGCCACATGTGAACTTGTACTTAAATCCCCAACCAGCTGCTGCCACAGCCATAGCTTTTTCACAATTAATATGTGTGCGTAATAGGGTGGTCCAAAAATGCATGTGAAAAACTTATGTCGGAATTTTAATGCTCTCGCCCCTAGGATTGTTTTATATCGAAATAATTATATGACTGCTTTGTTTTTATTTTGAAATCAAAAAATATTTAGAGATCGCTCAAAGCGCTCAAAGTTTTTCACGTATTTTATATGGGGAAAAACCATTTTTCGCGGAAATCTTGATAATCAATATTTTTCGATTGGAAACCTTGGTTTCTCTTCAGAAGGCTTTTTAGTAATAATTCCCAATTGCTTATTTTACCATTTTTAAATAATATCGATTTTTAATGGGTCCCCCATTGCATTGTTTGGGGTTTTTAAGGGTCCTAAAAAAATTACTTAGTATTAAAAAATGGTTAGATAAACAATTAACAAAGTTTTCCAATTGAAAAATATTGATTTTCAAGAATTCTATACCATTTCTACAAAGAATGATTTTTCCCATATAAAATGCATGGAAAACTTTGAGCGCTGTATAATAATAAATAATAGATTGGCGCTGTTAAAAAAAAACCTTTTTTCTACATTTTTTGCCATGTTGCTTTGATCAGGGCTTGAACCCAGGCGTTGCGGTGGAAGCGCGCACTGTTTACCACTACACCACAGCGGCCGACTTATCGATATTCGATATTTTTATCGATTTTGTTATCGATATTGTTTTTTTAGTGTGTGCTTTCATTTTTGGCTTAGATATGCTAATAATAAATAGTAATAAAATAATTTGCGGATAACTTACTGGAACCATGAAAGTTTAAGTTCGCAATTTTTTGTTATATTCTCATACGCAAAATAAAACCTTTTAACCTGCCGCAGGGGAACATTTACATAATGTTGCTAATAGGGATGTTAATTTTTCAGCCTCTTCCGATTCCGGGATCCCGGGATTAGTCCAGGGATTTAGATATTCATTATTTTTCAACAATTTAAATCGAAAAAATTGCTTCTATCTCTCCTACCATAAATTAAATAACAAATAAGTGGGTTGGAAACGTACTTTTTTATTTAAAGTGGCGTTTTTTTTTCTCTCATCAGTATTTATTTTAAAGAGCTTTGTAATTTCAAAGATATGACTAATTCCGAAAATTATTTAAAAAATTCAATGTTATGTAGAATAAATATATGGGTACCAAATGAAAGAGGAAATTTCTTTAGAATTTCAAAAATTAAAATTTTTTGGATTCACAAGGACGAATAAATAGGTAATTTTTTAAGCTGATAAAGTTAGAATAATGAAATTCGAGGATGTTATCGAGTTTATATAAGTCCTTAACATACAATTTTTTGAAAAACAAATATTGCGAAATTTCAAGGATACAATTTTAAAATAATTTTTTTTTCAATACTTACCAGCCCTTTTGCACCAGAAACTTGAATCTGTTTAAGCTCTACAGGATTTCCTCATTAATTTGTTACCCATATTTCTTTTCAAAACACATTTCTCTGATTTTTTTAAATCATTTTTGAATTACAGACGTCACGACTAAAACCGCAATTTTACTATATTTACTATCGCGCGGTTTTATATGTATATTATCAAATAAAAAAAAGAAATATAGCCAATACTGGTCAAGAAATGGAGTTTCTATTATTGCAATTAGTGCAAATTACCAATCCCGAAAATTTCGGGATTACTTGCCAAGAATGCCGGGATTTTCGGGACCTTAAAAAGGCCGGAATCCCGGGATCCCGGGATCCCGGGATTAACATTCCTAGTTGCTACGCTATCTAACATTTTTCTATAACCTATGTCGCTATAACGTATATTATATTTCCAGAAAACATTGGAACTACCATGTCAATACTGCGTTTTTAAATTTTTTTTTTAATTTTAATACTCTCAGAATTTTGTCATCATAAATTAGTTTATTTCAAAATATTAAATTTTTTCAATAAAGTAGTGGCTCTTAATGATTCCTATTGTTGTTATCGAGTCAGGCCCAAATTTGGCGTGCTACCAAACCCGTTGGATCTGCAGCTAATTTTTTGCATGTCCGTACTTCGTTTCGACCGAAAAGTTTACGGTTGAACTGGCATCAGATTCTGCATTTATATGTATGTATATGGGCATCCACTCACCGATTGAAATTCTCAAGGCCAAACTGAAGAAGTCGTAGAGCTTTGGCGTTAAACCGCCCGATGTAAAATCTGTAGAAAGATGGTAGTTTCAGATTATTTTCATATTGCAGAATACACTGAATTATTGGCGTCTGGGGTAATTTATTACTGTATCGTTGGAAGGTCTGATTTATTTCGCGAAGAGATGTATTTGGTAAAAAGACGTTGCATCGGAATTTGGAACCATCAAAAGTTTCAATGGTCCCAGCTGAGCCGAAGCTATCATCAGTTGCAGAGTGAAAATTACCGACTGTAGAGCTGCCTCTGGTTTTCAACACAAACAATTGGGCCTTTTACTTTGTGCATTGCTCAATTTACTGTGAAATGTATTGAAATTTAAATTTAAATCAACACATGGTACTAACAGCAAAAATAAACAGAGTACAGCAAGCGAGGAATAACAAAAAAAAACAAAAACCATGATCACAACAATAGCAAAAGCATTTTTCAAGTGCTGATGGTTGTAATTGTTGTTATTTGTAGTTATTGTTGTAGCTGTATTAGTTGCTGGCGATGATGTAAGTAAATAAATACCCGCATAAAGTGGACGTTATTATTGTATTTGTTGTTACAATCGTAGTCGTAATTGTCATCGTATCTGGATATTTGCATTTAACGTAACACTGCCGCCGGCGCACAGTGGTCCAAAATTGGCATTTTGAGTTCACGATTCACTGAATTCTTAACTTTCACTCAATTTGATAATTTTTTTTTTATGAAAGCTAATAAAATTGTAAGAGACCAGTTTAGCCCGATTTTTGAATGTTTGTATTAAATTTTGTTGGACAAAGTGCAGCAATTTTTAAGAAAATCGATTCTCTTGTTCAAGTTAATAAATGTAACATAATAATAACTAGTTGAAAACAATTGTAGGGTTCTCCCAAATCGAAAAAAATGTCACAAGAAAAATGTGAAATGTTATAAAAAATTTAAAAAAAAATTTAGTTTCTAGAGAAATGTTGGCAGTTTTATATACATACATATAATTAAATTTTAGTATAGTAAATTGCAATTTGCAAGTGGCTAAGAAGTTGCATTGATTTTTAATAATTTTTTTCGCTAACGTTTCGTACACAGTGGTCCAAAATTGGCATTTTGAGTTCACAATTCACCGAATCCTTAATTTTTCACTCAATTCGATAATTTATTTTAACGAAAGCTAATGAAATTGTAAGTGACCAGTGCAGATCGATTTTTGAATCGAAATCGAAAATAAATTTCACAAGAAAAATGTGAAATGTTATAAAAAAAAGTTCACCAAAATTAAAAAAAATGAGTTTCTATAAAAATGTTGCCAGTTTTATATACATACATATCATTAAATTTTAGTATTTTAAAGTGCAATTTGTAAGTGGCTAAGAAGTCGCGCTGATTTTTAATAAACTTTTCGCTAACATTTCGTGCACATCTGCATGCTAAATGGGTTATATTATTAAAAATTAACGCGAGCTCTTAGCCACTTGCAACTT